TGACAATAAATATAATTTCAATGCTTATGTGTCCATAGTATCTCAGCAAGGGTGGAGAAAACTGGGACAACCTAGCCACAGTCCTGTGGGCACTCAATGGCCACTGTGCCCCCAGAAAAGTCTAGGAAGCCCAACAGATCTATTAGGCACCAGCCACTAGATTTAACACCCTGGACACAGAGGTTGGGTTGATGCAAGGGTGAGTATTTTTGTTCCACATAGACAAAGGTTTCATTTTTCATCCACCCTCAAAGTTTGAAATCCATGCGAATTAGCATGGGAAATTTCACTGTGCAAATTAGCTGCATCTGGCATAGCTTCCAAACTCACCCTGTTATGCTGAGATGATACCCCAAAAGGTCTTGTAACAACACCTTCTTTAGGATTGATCTGCAAGACGGAATTAGTTTCCGCCAACGTTTGTGGTGTAAAGCAAGCGAAAGCACATCTGAACTTGTTTATTTAGTTTGCATGTCAAAATCAGCCACAAGGCATGTAAAGATTTTTGTTCCTCAGCTGTCAAGAATGCCAGCCAAGTGTTCAATTTTATGCCTCTTAAATGGGGTGGGAGTGGGGGGGGGGACAGTATCTCTCGGAAATTAAATTTCCATCTGACATGTTGCTGATGATGTATGCTAAGGCAAGAGTATGAACGGATCTAAATGTGTCATTCTTCAGGTCATGGTGAGTTTCCTAACAACCTAAACCCACCCTAGATAGCTACACCACTCAGTTGGTTGTGAATTTTAAGCCAACAAAATGGGCACGAAACTATACAGTGACACACCTAAGTTTCAAAAGTAAGTCCTCTGTCTGAACAGCAGATTCACTAGGTGTATTACAAAGTGCAAAAAGCTAACAACTACAACAAAGCTAACATCATCATCATCATCAACAAAAACAACTTTATTGTTTATACCCCACACATCTGGCTGGGTTTCCCCAGCTACCCTGGGAGGCTTCCATCAAAATATAAAAAATAATAAAACGCCAGACATTAAAAACTTCTCTGAACAGGGCTGCCTTCAAATGTTTTCTGAAAGTTGTATAAGGGACTCCGATTTTTAAAATCCCATTGATGCATAAATGTCATGCGGTTCTGCACAGATGTTATGGAGAAAACTCCTCTATTGTCTCCCAAGACAGACAGACAAACAAATCCAAGATGCCAAACAAAATCCAAGAAACAATGGAGCACGTTAATGCTTGAACAGTGGGTGCTATTTCTAGTTTACACAGAAGAAAACAAAGTGTCTAGTGCAATAGCCGAAATAAAATACTATAACGATACTTTTGAAATCAGACTATTTTAATTTAATTCTGTATTTCTTTATTGAACCCTCACCCCCAATTTTGCTAGTAGAGTTACCCAAGAAATATGACGCTGAAAGGATTCACATTTGAGCTACTTTTGGTATTTGCCATTAAGCACACATGAAACTTGGTTTTCAGGTGGGTGTTTTTGCTGCACTCGTTTGGAACTCTCTTGAAACAGATTGAGAAGCACCGTTTAAATTGCTTGTCAGTCATGATTAGTGCCAACACTAACCATTTAATTAGCAAACTAACAACATTAGCCTCCCAACAAGATGCTTTAATAAACTATTTAAGCAGCTCCCCAGGTCTCTTTGTAAACAGGAAGAAATTACTCAGAGTTCCACTGGGTGCCTCACAGACACCATTTTGATTGCAGCATCCACAAATTCAGGTGTCTGTATATGGTCTAAGGCACATGTGGGCAACCTATGGCCCACAGGCCACAACAGGATCTCACCAGCCTTCCATGTGGCCCACAGTTGGTGCCCAAGTTTCCCTACATCCCTTGCAACCCTGGGAGGTGGAGGGGAGCCAGTGTGGTGTAGTGGTTAAGAGCGGTAGACTCGTAATCTGGTGAACCGGGTTCGCTTCCCCGCTCCTCCACATGCAGCTGCTGGGTGACCTTGGGCTAGTCACACTTCTCTGAAGTCTCTCAGCCCCACTCACCTCACTGAGTATTTGTTGTGGGGGAGGAAGGGAAAGGAGAATGTTAGCCACTTTGAGACTCCTTCGGGTAGTGATAAAGCGGGATATCAAATCCAAACTCTTCTTCCCTGTGATTTGTCAAATGCCAGTTGGGCAGGCCAAGGTCTGGCTGGGGAAGAGGCATGGGTGTCTCCCCCTCCTGCTGTGATAAGCTCCCCTCCTCCCTCATCGCCCAGAACCAGGAGAGGTAAGGTAAAAAAGGTAAAGGACCCCTGGACGGTTAAGTCCAGTCAAAGGTGACTATGGGGTTGTGGTGCTCATCTCGCTTTCAGGCCGAGGGAGCCGGCGTTTGTCCACAGACAGCTTTCCGGGTCATGTGGCCAACAGGACTAAACCGCTTGTGCCACAATGGAACATCATGATGTAAGCCAGAGTGCACGGAAATGCTGTTTACCTTACCGCCACAGTGGTACCTATTTATCTACTTGCACTGGCATGCTTTTGAACTGCTAAGTTGGCAGGAGCTGGGACAGAGCAACGGGAGCTCACCCTGTTGCAGGGATTCAAACCGCCGACCTTCTGATCGGCAAGCCCAAGAGGCTCCGTGGTTTAGACCACAGCACCACCTGCATCCCATCAGGAGAGGCATGAATAGGGTGAAGGAGAAGTTATCTTCATGCAGACACAGTCTCAAGTTTCTTGGGGAAAGCCCTAGAGAGGAGGGGACTTGGGCAGCTGTGGAGAGGCAGAGACCTTCAGTCTCAGCAGCTGCTTCTTGGGGACAAGAGCTGCAGATGAGTTGCTTTGCTCATTAGGCCCAACACTCTTGTGCAGATTCTGGTTTTGCTAGCAAAGAGTTAACTCCAACTTGCTGGCTGGCTGTCTCCCATTACCTAAGTGGTCACATCCCTACTATAGATTTAAAGCCCATGGCGCTGGGACGCGGGTGGCACTGTGGGTTAAACCACAGAACCTAGGACTTGCCGATCAGAAGGTTGGCGGTTCATATCCCCACAACGGGGTGAGCTCCCGTTGCTCGGTCCCAGCTCCTGCGAATCTAGCAGTTCGAAAGCAAGTCAAAGTGCAAGTAGATAAATAGGTACTGCTCTGGTGGGAAGGTAAACGGTGTTTCCGTGCGCTGCTCTGGTTCGCCAGAAGCGGCTTAGTCATGCTGGCCACATGACCCAGAAGCTGTACGCCGGTTCCCTTGGCCAATAACGCGAGATGAGCGCCGCAACCCCAGAGTCGGCCACGACTGGACCTAATGGTCAGGGGTCCCTTTACCTTTACCTAGCACACATTTAAAGCACATTTCTATCCCCAAAGAATTGCCCCCTCACTGAGCTACAATTCCCAGAAACATTAATGATCTGCTATTCCCATGATTTTTTCTGGGGTTTCCATGTACTTTTACGGTGTGGAGGGAACCTGAATACTGCGGTACCTCCGTCATAAGGTAGGAATCAGACCTGCCATGGTCCCCAACAAAATCTGCATACACATAGCACTCCCGCCTGCTTCCAGACAAGGTTGCTCTGGAATTTGCTTTTGTTTTAAAATGACAAGAAATCTTCATTTTCAGCTAATGCCACTTTGACAGCAGTAAACTTTACCGTGAATATTCGGCTCAGTTTGAGTTTTCCATCGGTGCTCTGAGAGGAGGAGGCTGACATGCTCAGCCCGCCACATCTCATCTCTTCACAGTGCTCTTACTCTTACTTCTTTTGTCAGCACTATATATGAAACTTAACACAGGGGATGGGAAGTATATAGGATGAAAACAACAGCGTTCCTCCTGCCTCAGGCTTGAAGGATGAAATAAACAAACCTGCCAGAGCACTGGTGACTGTTTGAATTACCTTCTTTATGTGTATGCCAATTCACTACCTGCCAGGTGGCTTGGATGAAGTGGTAGCCAGTCAAGAAGGGTTTGGAACTAGGAATCACACATAATAGATAATTTCCTCGCTCGGGTTCTCAAAATGAGGACATGTTGAAACAACAGGCTTCCCAAATCTGATTGTCAAATTAGTATGTGATGCAACCTCCTAGATTCATTGCGTAGCATAGGATGCATAGCATATGAGAAACCCAGTGCTCTGTGTGTGTTTATATGTAAATAAAGTAGATTAGCCAAAATGCTGAGTTGCTGAGGTCTGTTACGCAAGCTGCGAAGACTCTGCGGATCCCTAAGTGTGCCGATGTCTGTTGGCATTGGTCGCTGTGATGTTCGGGCTGAAGAAAGCTTTGGAAGCTCCCGAACAATCAACCAGGAGAGAGAGAACATGCCAGTCGGGCATGTGTCTCTGCCAGTGTCCTACTCGAGAGTAGCATAGGATGCATAGCATATGAGAAACCCAGGGAGCATGGCTGTGCCTGCCTTATCATTATAGCAACAAAGCATCATGTAACATTCTGCACATATTCGTTGGGGTGAAAGCCTTTGCAAACAAATGCTTACCATGTCAGGTGCATAGCCTATAAATTTGGTAGATATAAGATACCCAAAACTGTGTATATGAGATGCACTATGCAAAAAAATTATACTCAGCTTCCACCCTTCTGGTATGCGTCCTGAGCTGTTAATGTGTGAAAACAGTTTTGCAAAAATGGGTGACCAGAAATCAGGTCTTATCTTATAAGTCTCCATTGGGATCATGTCTTCTCCTGGAGCTTTATTGGCTAGTTGGCTTATGATTAGCCTCTTAATCTGATTGGGCATGACGTCTGGCCATTCTGGCAGTTCTAATAACTGAGTATGGTAAACTTGTGAGGGTGAGTCAGGACGGGGGCCATATATTCCTGCAAAATATGTTACCCAATCCTTTCCTTGGACAGATGCTTCTAACGAGTAGCCCAGCCCATTTTTTACCTTGGGCAACCAGATGAGATGCACTATGCAAAATAAAGTCATTGCAATTAGCAAAGTCAATTTAATATAGCTTCTCATGGACAATCGTATTATCATAGAATTGTCAAGTTGGAAGGGACCCTGCGGATAATATTTTCCAACCTCCTGCAATGCAGGAATATGCAACTGTTTCATGCAGGGATCAAACTTGCATCCTTGAAATTATCAGCACCACACTCTAACCAACTGAGCTATCCAGGCACAGATAAATTTACAAATTTAAAGCCTTTCCCATAAAGACAGCAAATGCAGATTGGCAACAGCATGTACCCTCAACAGCCAGCCCTAGCTCTCTAACTGGTGTGGTACCTGTAAGTTTGTCTCATTTGCACATTAGTTGTCGTTTGACTGCTTAGCCTGCCGTTCACCAGATGGACTCAGGGCAATGTACAGAAATACAACAATTAAAATATGTACAGTTAAAATCATATTTTCAAAACTAAAACCAAACAAACCAGATCAAAATAATGTAGCAGCAGCACAAAGCTGCAGTGTACATTTTTAGGTGTGCACTTCTTTTTAAACCAAGACAATGATCTTGCATGCACACCTAAAAACACAATATGTGACTCAACCTTCCAACAACTGTTATGAGCTTTTGCACTTGATATGGATAAAAGAGGAGAGCACTTAGAAGTCAGCAACAGCCAAGCAATCTAAGAAGCAATGGGAGAGAAGATAAATGGGAGAGTCGACGTGTGAAAAGACAGTGATGAAACCTGTCACCAGTCTGAGTAGCCAAGTGCCCCCTAGAGCACAAGCTCTCCTGAATTGCTAGACTCCACAAATTCCATTAAATCACTCAGTCTGAGCTCCCCAGAGACATGATGGCATGCTTCCCAAACACAAGGACCACATTGCCTAATGGAAATCATGGACATGTTCCAGCCAAGTTGTAGCATTTTAAAAGTTCCTGTGATTTCAGTAAGAGGCATGCATTTAAAGCATGAGACTATAAACAAAATGCTTAACTGGGATACCTAGACAGTCCCCTGCATTCTCATTAGTGACACAATACAAGATCAGGTGGACACGACACAGGCATAATAATTTCTAATTTAATGGGTGTGGGGTGTGTCAGCCAATGTATTCTCAACTCAAGCAAGCCACTCCTTAAAAGTTCTTCCTATTCTACCCTAATGATGTAAGGGTAAAAGTAAAGGACCCCTGGACAGTTAAGTTCAATCAAAGCGACTATGGGGTTGCGGCGCTCATCTCACTTTCAGGTGAGGGATGCAGCGTTTGTCCACAGACAGCTTTCCGGGTCATGTGGCCAGCAGGACTAAACCGCTTCTGGTGCAACGGGACACCGTGATGGAAACCAGAGCGCATGGAAACGCCATTTACCTTCCCGCCAGCACGGTACCTATTTATCTACTTGCACTTTGACGTGCTTTCGAACTGCTAGGTTGGCAGGAGCTGGGACAACGCAACAGGAGCTCACCCCATTGCAGGGATTCAAACTGCCGACCTTCCAATCGACAAGCCTAAGAGGCTCAGTGGTTTAGACCACAGCGCCACCTATGTCCCAGATGCCATATAAGTACAGTATTTTGCTTGCAACATACAGGAAAACTGAAGAACTGTATGGGATTCTTCCTTTTAAAAAAAGCAAAATGAGACAAAGCCATTACTGGACATACACACAATGGACACAGGACAGAGATAAATACCTGTGTGGTTCCTCTTTCTGTACATTACAGATGAAACACGGGAGGAATCACCATGATATCACCAGATAGCAACTCTCATGCCACTGGGTTAATATATTAAACTGGCCCCAAGAGAGCCGCTACTACAAGGCTACTACAAGGACTGTGGGTTCCTTTTTGTGATTCAGAGCTATTGATCTGTTCTTTAATAAGGGAAATGGAAGATCATAACACTGAGGCAGTACGGACTCACTTGGCTGTGAATGTTATTTCTTAGTGTGAAAGTCGAGAATGGCTCTTTTGATTAAATAGCAAATGTGTATGCATGTCTTCACGCATTACAGGGAGGCATTTCTTGATTCCAAAATGTGTGTAGGAGCAGAGTTATGTGTAGGTGGGGCAGGGCAATGGACAGTTGCTACTAGGAAAAACAACTTAGAAACAAGAAACGCATTAGCATCTTTATTACAAATGTAATTGGTTTTCTTTTATTTGTGATTGGGGAAAGGGGTCACCCTTTAAAAACATACCACTGTAAAATTTGCAATTCAAATTTCATTTCCTGCAGGAATGCAGAAGAAACAGTTTACATAAATAGTATCCATTAATCATTAAAAGGAAAGGTTAGGTGTAAGTTAGGCTGCTATTATTCCCCTTCCCCCATGATTATTGATGGCTGTGCCATGAGATTTGTTTTCCAAAAGATCGGAAATTGGGCTCTTCCTTCCTTCCTTCCTTCCTTCCTCTTCTTCTTGAAAGGAACAGCACATTTTGATAGAGAACTTGAGAATTTCAATCTGGCAAAGTACAGACGTTTATTGCTTTGGCAGGTGGGGAGCAAACTCAATACTCAACAGTTCATTCTTTAACACATAACTTGGAAGGCAAGTCTCTCACTTGTCTACCATGTCTCTCATATTCCAAAGTGCAGCCTGAGCACCAGATGATGATCTAGCAGCCTATCTAGCAGCCTAGCAGCAAACTATTGTGGAATAGTTTCGAAATTGCTTACAGGGAGGTAGAAAAAAAAATGGTGGAAACTACAAACGGTTGGTGCCCAGTTCTGTACTTACTCCTCCTGCCAGCTGAGAACAAGAAAGAAATGTGCCACTTTCAAAAATGTCAGTCTTCTAGCAAACTCTAGAATCTTTAGCATGTCTGATCCCTTGAGCAAATACAGCAAACTTGATATTAGTAGCCTAGACCCCTGGGCATTTGGGATCTAGGAAAGGAGCACTATTCCTGAAGGAGCTCTCACAAACACACCAGCCCCATCCCAGATACCAAGATGCGACTTACACCGATTGCCCATTGACCTGGGAGCATAGCCAAGCATGCACATTGCCACTGAGAGCAGGGGGTCTAAATGGGTGCATATGCAAAAGCCTTTCATGTAGCAAAAGCTTAGAATGTCTGCTTCAATGCATTTGCTTCATGCTTCTTTCTGAACCCTTTGTTTTTGGTACAGTCGTACCTCGGGTTACAGATGCTTCAGGTTGCGTTTTTTTTGGGTTACGGACCCGCCGAAACCCGGAAGTACCGAAACGGGTTACTTCCGGGTTTGGGGTGTTGCGCATGCCCAGAAGCACCGAATCGCAACCCGCGCGTGTGCAGTCGAGCCGCTGCGGGTTGTGAACACTGTGGTTTGCGAATGTGCATCCTGCATGGATCACGTTCGCAACCTGGGTGTCCACTGTACTGTTCAGAGGTGCCTGCAGCTACAGAACATAGCCAGCAGGAGAATCAGGACCACGTAGAGTAACTGGGAGTGGAGACAGCAGAATAAGCAGTCTGGAGGCAACGGCGGCGGAAGCTGCTCGGGCGCCTGGGGTGCAGGGCAAGCTGCCCATAGGCCTCTGGAGTCTGCCTGCCTCCTCCCACTCAGCCGCCCTACAGCTGGGGGGGGGGCAGCAGGTGGACCGTTTGGGCAGCGCAGAGCCTGTGCCCGCCCAAGCCACCGCTTCTCTCCCAGGAGAGTCATTTGGCTCGGGCGTACTGCAGGCCCTGCAGTGAGTGCTGCCCGGCATTTTGTCACTTCCCCCTCAGTGGTGACACCTGAGGCGGCCCGCACCTACCGCACCCCCTTCCTCTGCCCCTGTCTGGAGAGAGTTGCATGAGAGTAGCTGCCTATTCCTAAAGGGTAGGAGGTCTGTGATCCTGGGCCCCTCCTGGTGAGCTGGTCAGTGGGTATTCATCCTGATTTGAGTACACAAAGCTGACTCAAGGAGGTTAGATCATATCATGTCTTTACTGAGCATTTGTTCTGATTTGTTCACATGGTGGTTATACAACAAGTCCGCTCCACTTCCTTGTGGGGAGGAGTTGCAGTGGACCACGTGGCCACCCACTCTCCCCAGGGGGCGGGGGACGAAGTCCTGCATTGCCCTGGGGATCCCAGCCACGTCAGCACTCAGCCAGCCAATCCGCTGGCTGGGGCCATTTAAATGGAGGCACGAGCCAGAGGGCTTCCTCTTGGCTTGCTCCTTCAATCTCCCTCCCTCACTCCCTTTTTTGCAGGTTTTCATTGGCCTTGCTATGGACCTTGGTTGGTTGCCGTTGAGGGGCCTGGTAGGAATTTTTCCACTTGGCAAAATTGGCACGGGCCATTTGGTTTTCGCCTGCCTCGTAGCAATCCTCACAACTTTGTAAGGTTTTGCAGTTAGACATTGTTTGACCTTTTGATGGGGGAGGGGAGGTGTAGCCATCACCTGCCCCTCCAAGCTTAAGGGTATTCCATTAAAGGAATCCGGGGATGTGGATCTTGTCCAAAGTCTGGGGCTGGGCTAGGGCCATGACACCACCCCGACGGGGACACCTGGGGGAGCTCGAGTTGGTTTGCATCGACAGGGCTCCCCCTTCTGGTGATTTACCCTTACCGGACTTCCTGTGCAGTAGGCAGGAGTCAGATATAGTCAGGTTCATTCAATGCCTAAGCCAATTACTGCTCACATTCTGTAATCAATAAAGTTGTGGCCAAAATTTGCCCAATTACATTAACCTAATATCTGTGTCTTGGTGTGTTTTATTCCTCAACAAGGGGTGGTTGCGGGGTCTAGGCATGCAATGAGCATTGGTCTTGAATTCATCCTGATTGGCTTGTGAGGTGTTTTTACACCTGCCTGTTAGTCCTTTTTCGCATTTCACTTTCCTAACCGCAAAACAGCTGATTCTTAGATTTGTTGCACTGCACCCACTTTTAACTCACTGAGTTAAACAACAAACAGTGCAACAAACTGTGAAAACCCCAAGTTCTAGTTTGAACTAAAACCCTTCCCGCAAAATCCTGACCTCCTAGAAGCACCCACTGATATCTGCAGGATTGGGGTGGAAAGGGCTCTTACCACATTGAATTCCTAACTTCATGGGATATTTGGAAATATTTGAACACACAAATCCTGGTTTCAGAGACCATGCAGAAAGTCTCCTTGTATGTATCTGAATGTAAAGGGGCTTATTTTATAATCATACAGCATTTCCCTATGAAATAGTGCAGTAAAAAATATATGGCAACCTTTACATAGGAAGAGATGTTGACTCATATGCAA